TCACTCAAATCACAGACAGGGCAGTCTGTGGTCAGAGGGGGAGGGGCGGAAGTGTACGCATTCCTAACATTAGCATATGGTATGGCCCAGAGTTTTATTGTTCTTTGTGTAGGAGGGTGGCAGAGAGGGGGAGGGAGGCATGGCATGGTCGAGGTCCCCGAGATAAGGATTAGGGCCTGCGGGTGCTGTGTCCACCGAAACACCGTGCGCCTGCACGCAGCAGCAGAGCCGGCCCGGGGATCAGTGGAAAACCGTCACCATGGACCACAGATCCTGGAGTCCCGGTGAAGCACGTGCAGGATCTCTCCTCCTGTATACCCGCTCCAGCTCGTCCATCTTGTCCCCCAGCACCTCACTCTAGCTCCTCTCCCAGCACTTTGCTCCAGTTCTGCAGACTCACCCCCCTTGTTGCATCCCCGTGGGAATCCCCGGCAACTCACAACAAGGAAGCTGATTGTTGGCAAGCAGAGCAAACAGTCGGGGTCGCGACACAAGGGTCCCCCCAAGGCAGACTCGAAAGCTTGTACAAAAGTACAAAACATGGTGCAAACGCAATAAAAGTTGTATCCCTGGTAGCCCAACTCCACAAGCGTTTACGGAAAAGAGACATAGCAAAAAAGCAAACACAGAAGCCCAAGGAAACATGAAAATAAACATAAAAGAGGCAGAGCTGTTGCAGCTTGCTGCCGCTCCACACGGAGCGGAACCGGAAAACTCTTAATTGGCTTACAATCTAAATAAATCAACAACTACTATTTCTAAACTTCAGTCTAAAATGAATATACTGATTAATATTATTAACTCAAACACTGAATTAAAGTCAAAGAATTTCTCAGAGTCCTGTGCTCAGTTGGTTTGAGTTGGTTGATTGCGGCATTCTGTTGAAAATCTTCATTTCTTTGTAAATCATCTTTTAAGCTGGAATTTAGAGGTTTCTTTGCTGAACTATGAAACATTTGAACAGTTCAATCGGCCCACGTTGACTTCCCGCTCTCCGTAGTGGCTCTATTAGTGGTTTTCCTCTCTTCCTACCCCAGAAGGAAGCCGCAGCCTGATCACACTGTAGGCTGTCTTCCTTCAGTCACTCGGTCTTCTGGAAGTCAGAAAATCAGCCGGACAGAGCCTCCGGCTGCAACCACTGGACAAGTTGCTGTTCCTTTTTTTCTTGGGGTTTTTAGAGGATTCTTGTCAGTCAACTTCATCCTCTTCATTCAACCAAATGCCACAATTTGCACTTAATACCTTTTTTGGCATGCACAAATATGTTCTTGAGAACTCATTTGCATATTGCTTATTGTCAGTGTTCAGTACCGCTTTTGACTGCTTATGGCCAACTTCTCTTTCTTGGCTACTCACACCAGGGGGCATCCTAAACAGGTGCCTGAGCCACCTCAACTGGTTCAGCTCAACGTGGAGGAGCAGTGGCTCTACTCTGAGCTCCTCACGGGTGACTGACCTCCACGCCCTATCCCTAAGGGTGCGCCCAGCCACTCTCCAGAGGAAACTCATTTCTGCTGCTTGTATTCGCAATCTCATTCTTTTGGTCATGATCCAAAGTTCATGGCCATAGGTGAGAATAGGAACGTAGATCGACCAGTAAATTGAGAGCTTCGTCTTACGACTCAGTTCCCTCTTCATCACAATGAACCGGTACAGAGACCGCATTAATGTGGACGCCGCACCGATCCGTCTGTCAACTTGCCGCTCTATTTTTTCCTCACTCCTGAATAAGACCTCGAGGTACTTAAACTCCTCCACTTGAGGGAGCAACTCGCCCCCAACCCGGAGAGAGGAATCCACCTTTTTCCGACTGAGAACCATGGCTTCAGATTTGGAGGTGCTAATTATCATCCCTGCTGCTTCACACTCGGCTGCAAACCCCTCCGGTGTACGCTGTAGGCCTTGAACTGATGGAGCCAACAAAACCACATCATCCATAAAGAGCAGAGACGAGATTCTGCAGCCACCAAAACAGACACCCTTCGTTACCTGGCTGCGCCTAGAAATTCTGTCCATAAAAATAATGAACAGTGCAGCCTTGGCAGAGCCCAACATGCACTGGAAACAGGTCTGACTTACTGCCGGCAATGTGAACCAAGTTCCTACTCCGTCATACAGGGAACAGACAGCCCATAACAATTCATTATTTTTCCCTCTCTTCCAGCTCCTCTTGCTGTTTCTTCTGTTTCCCCTCCAGGTCCAATTTGGCCTCTCATTCATCCCTCACCATGTATTCTGCACTCTTCCATTCCTTTCTATTTTCCAGCTTCTTTTGTCATTTTCTTCTTTTTCTTCTTCCTTTTCCTCAACATCAGATTCTGCCTGCCACTCATCCACCACCAGATATTCTGCACTTTCTTCCATTCATGGCAGGAGTCTGTGGGTTCTATAGGGCCAGGTGTGAAAGGAGACAAGCTTTCCATTAACTCCTCCACAACATGCACTGAGGCATTCTCTGTCCCCGGTGCGGTTCCTTCTGGTTCATGCAACTCATTCTCATCTTCTCTCGGCTTGACTATTATCTCCTTGCATCCTTCTTCATTATTTAGTGGCAATTCCCATATTTCTAATAATAATCACCTTTATTTGGCCAAATATGTTACACACAAGAAATTTGTTTCCGGTACAGAACAGAGGAAGCCATCTGCGGCACCCACTCAACCAATGGCTCTAACCATCAGGGGGCAACTTGGGGGTTCAGTGTCTTACCCAAGGACACATGGACTGCAGGCACCAAGATTTGAACCACCAACCCTCTGGTTGGGAGATGACTGCTCTACCCACTGCGCCAAAGCTGGGGAACAATAGTCCGTATAAGGTGGGGAAGAAGGGGAAAAAGGGGGGAGAAAATGGGGGAGAGAAGAGAGAGGAATTCACAGGATCGCAGGTTCGAATCCAGCGCTGGTAAAAGTAAAACTCGGCAT